AAAAAAAAAAAAATACACTGAGAGCCAGGCACAGTGGCTCACGCCTGTGATCCCAGCACTTTGGGAGGTCAGGATGGGCAGGCTGCTTGAGCTCAGGACTCTGAGACCTGCCTGGGCAAGATGACGAGACCTCATCTCTACAAAAAAATTAAAAAATCAGGCAGGTGTGGTGGTGTCTGCCAGCTACTGGGGAGGCTGAGGCAGGAGGATCACCTGAGCCCAGGAGGTCGAGGTTGAGGTGAGCTGTGATTGTGCCACTACACTCCAGTTCTCCAGCTGTGGCAACAGAGTGAGACTCGCAACTCAAAAAAAGAAAAAACTATAGAGAGAGATAGATTATTCAAGAAATGTTCAGAAAATATAGATTGTTCAATAAATGGTTTGGGACAAGAGAGTTACCTGGAAAAAAATAAATTTGAATACTTATCTCAGTTATGATTCCTTTTTTTTTTTTTGAGTTGGAGTCCCACTCTGTCGCCCAGACTGGAGTGCAGTGGCCACTCCCGGACACCGCAGCCTCGACCTGCTGGGCTCCGGCGATCCTTCCGCCTCAGCCTTCCAAGTAGCTGAAACTAAAGGCGTGCGCTACCACACCCGGCTGATTTTTGATTTATTGTAGAGATGAGGTCTCACCAAGTTGCCCAGGTGGGTCGCAAACCCGCAGGCTCAGGCAATTCACTCACCTCAGCCTCCCAAAGCGTGGGATTACAGGTTGAGCCACCGAGCCCGACTCAGTTATGATTCCAAAACAAATTTCAGAGGACACAGAATGAAACACTGAAAAGTGAACTAGCTGGACCCAGTGACTCACGCCTGTAATCCCAGCACTTTGGGAGGCAGATGGCGAGAGGACTGCCTGAGTCCAAGGGTTCAAGATCAGCCGGGGCAACTTGGCAAGATCTCATCTGTATAATAAATTTTTTTTTTTTTTTTTTGAGTTGGAGTCTCACTCTGTCGACCAGACTGGAGTGCAGCAGCCGCTCCCAGCCACCGCAGCCTCAACCTACTGGGCTCGGGCGATCCTTCCTCCTCAGCCTTCCAAATAGCTGGAACTACAGGCGCGTGCTACCACACCCGGCTAGTTTTTTGATTTATTGCAGAGATGAGGTCTCGCCAAGTTGCCCAGGTGGGTCACGAATACAATAAATTTTTTAAAAATTAGCCGAGTTGGCCAGGCTCGGTGGCTCAGCCTGTAATCCTGTGCGTTGGGAGACTGAGGTAAGTGGATTGCCTGAGTCCACGGGTTCGAGACCTGCCTGGGCAACTTGGTGAGAGCTCATCTCTACAATAAATCAAAAAATTAGCCGGGCGTGGTAGCGCGCCCCTGTAGTTCCAGCTACTTGAAAGGCTGAGGCGGAAGGATCGCCGAGGCCAGCAGGTCGAGGCTGCGGTGGCCGGGAGCGGCCATTGCACTCCAGTCTGGGTGACAGAGTGAGACTCCAACTCAAAAAAAAAAAAAAAAATACTTAAAGCCCTTAGAATAGCCGGGCTCAGTGGCTCGGCCTGTAATCCCACGCCTTTGGGAGGCTGAGGCGAGTGGATTGCCTGAGCCTGCGGGTTCAAGACCCACCTGGGCAGCGAGACCTCATCTCTACAATAAATCAAAAAATCAGCCGGGCGTGGTAGCGCATGCCTGTAATTCTGGCTACTTGGAAGGCTTAGGCGGAAGAATCGCTGGAGCCCAGCAGGTTGAGGCTGCAGTGGCAGGGAGCGGCCACTGCACTCCAGTCTGGGCGACAGAGTGAGACTCCAACTCAAAAAAAGAGCCCTTAGAATAATGCCCAGAATATGTAGTATTGGCTATTTAGGTGCACATGTTAATAAAAAGAGCAAGGGCAAACAGTATGTATTATACCCTACCATTTGTATAAAAGAAAAATTAGTATATCGATAAAATCTCTTGTAAATTTCACACTAAATCAGTAACAGTGATAGCCCTGGAGAGAGGAACTGAGGGATCAGGGTCAAGGTCACTTATTTTCATTGTCTACTTTTCTTTTTTTTTTGAGTTGGAGTCTCACTCTGTTGTCCAGACTGGAGTGCATGATTGTGCCACTGCACTCCAGTCTGGGTGACAGAGTGTGACCCCAACTCAAAAATAAAAAATAAATAAAAGAATAAAATATGTGAAGCACTAGGCACAGTACATGGCATATAATTGGTGCCCATCAATGGGAGTCAATTATTTGAGAGTAAAGCTCTTTTTAATCAAGAATTCCCAAATGTAATCTCACAGATAATCACTACCTGCAGTTAACGCTTATCTTAGCAGGAAGTATTTCTGAAAGCAACTTGCCTGGAAGTTAATACTGGTCCCATGAATTCCCATGTGGGAACCAGAATCTGAAGAACCAGCAACAGGTTTTTCAGGATGTTTGTTTTCAGAAGGAACCGCCCCATTCCATTGTTTCAGCCAGGAGGGTGATACCTGTTTCCCTCCCAATCTCCCCACACCCCTGCCAGCTTGCAGCAGGGTTCCCGGGCCTCCTCCTGCACGCTCCCATGAACTTGTTCTAAAAGCTTCTAAACTAAAATTTCCAGGTAGAGATACTTGAACGCAAACTCCATTCTCTTATTTCTAATCCTCACGAGGCTCACAATTCTCTTTCCCCACTTTTTCCCAGAGAGGTATCCCCTGACTCCAGGTAAGAATGTACAGGTTGGAAGACTGAGGCGGAAGGATCGCCAGAGCCCAGCAGGTTGAGGCTGCGGTGGCCAGGAGCGGCCACTGCACTCCAGTCTGGGTGACACAGTGAGACTCTAACTCAAACAAACAACAAAAAAAAGAATGTAAAGGTAAGAACAAAGTCTCTGCACAGAACAATAGAAGGAAAAGTCTGATAGAGAGGTAGCAGACAGCAAAGATAGTCTTTTGGTTCCAAGATAAAGAACTTTCTCAAAATACTTTCTTTTCTTTTTTTTTTTTGAGTTGGAGTCTCACTCTGTTGCCCAGGCTGGTATGCAGTGGCATGCTCAGGGCCATGCAGCCTCGACCTGCTGGGTTCAGGTGATCCTTCCGCCTTAGCCTTTCAAGTAGCAGCAACTACAGGCATGCCCCACCACACCTGGCTAATTTTTTCTTTCTTTTTTTTTTTTGATTTACTGTGGAGATGAGGTCTCACCAAGTTGCCTGGGCTGGTCTCGAATCTGTGAACTCAGGCAATCCTCGTGCTAGGATTATATGCGTGAGCCACCACGCCCAGCCAATACTTTATTTTCAAAAGGTGGTTATCTCTAGGTTGTGGGAGTATATGGTAATTGGCATCTTTTGATTTTTGGCATTTTCCCAATTGTCTACAATGGCTATGTAGCATCTGTAACATGATAGGATTCACTGGGGTCTTACCTAATTACAAAAGCACTTTGTGCTTAATGCCAGATAACTTGGAAAGCATGAAGCAAAAAGTCCCCTTAATCACACCATCTAAAGATAACAGCTGTTAACATTTTGGCATTGGTTGGCTCAGTGGCTTAGCCTGTAATCCCAGCACTTTGGGAGGACGAGGCAAGTGGATTGCCTGAATCTGTGGGTTCGAGACCACCTGGGCAACTTGGCAAGCCCTCATCTCTACAATAAATAAAAAATTGGCCAGGTGTGGTAGCACACGCCTGTAGTTTCGGTTACTTGGAAGGCTGAGGCGGAAGGCACGCTGGAACCCAGCGGGTCAACGCTGGGGTGACCTTGAGTGTGCCTGGGCGACAGAGTGAGACTCCATCTCAAAAAAACAAGCAAAAAACACATTTTGGCATATTTTCCCAGACTTTTTTCTTTTCCAGACTTTTCTCTATGCAGAGATGCTTCATTTTTGTAATCTGGAAAAAAGTAAACATTTAAGAGACAAAGACTTGGGTCTTTAGTCTTCAATTTTATTTCTGTTTTGAACAGTAATTAACAGCTTGGAAATGTCCCTAACAGCAAGGGCCCGCCCCATGCATTCCAGAAGGCTCCCTCAACCAAGGTTGGGGTCCGGGCTCCAGTAACTTCCCCTCACTCACATGAGCCATCAGGCCTATTTTCTCACTGGAGACTTGGGACAGAAGAGGGTCTCCAATGAAAGGGGAAATTGGCAATAAGGGCCACCGTTTGGAAGGATTGGTCTCAGACACAGCTGCCTTTGTTAGTCTTAGACTATTTTGGGATTTGGTAGCATGCTCAGACAGACTGTGGGAGGGCAGGGAGAAGGGCTCCTGAACTCCTCCCCCGCCTCACTTCTTGGGCAAGCCCCACAGCACCCGTTCCTTTTGCTGGGCTCAGCCCACTGACTTTAGCAGATGGGCATCTGGTAGCCTGTGGTACTCCAGGATGCCTTGATGTGGCCTGGTCAGCTTCAAGGAAGCACTTCCCTCTTCCCCCAACTCACTTCTCCTGGCCTGGGCTGGGTGAATCAGGAAAGTGACAGAGATTCAGACCTGAGTGTATCCCACCCTCCTACACAGGGCTTGGGACCCAACTGTACCAACCCTTTACCAACTCTCACCTAGAAGGGAATAATACAAGGGCATCTCTTTAATGACTCGGAGGGGCAAACCTGGGCATTTAAACCCCAAGCGTGGGCACAGCTGAGCCCCCAGACAGGAGGTGGCTGGATGCATGCACTAAAGCAGCAGGGGCAGCTCAGCTGGGAAAGTAGGGGCCCACAGGGCTGGATCTACCCTCCCCCTACTGCCATCCATACCCATGGTAACCATGGAAACATAACCACCACCCCCCCTCCTGCCAGCTGCCTGGGTTCAGACAACCAGGCCAGGCCCACCTCCATCAAGCCAGGGCCTGAACGGATGCCAGGCTGGCCACAGAGTGGTTGCAGGAAGAACTGAGATTGGGCGATTTGGTCCAGGATTCCCAGCACAGCTTGGGAGGACTACCACAGGAGCCTCCACATCTTGCTGTCTGGGCTGGGGTCAGATGGGGCTTAGGCAGCCAGCACAGCGGTCAGTAGAGCCAGTCAGATGGCCCTCTGCCTGTGGGCTAGCAGCTACTGTGGGGCAGCAGCCCTTGATGCAGCAGCAGCAGCCTCTGGGCCTCGCTGAGGGGGCTCTCCGGCTGCTGCTCCACTTGCCCTGGCGGCTCAGCCAGCCCTCCGGGGCTGAGGATGTACCGATAGTCACTGGGAGTGCCCCCTACTGCCCCCATGCCACTGCCATTCCCAGCCCCACTGCTGGGCTGATCTCTGCCAGGCAGCTGCGGGTTGCCTCCCTCGGCAGGCTCTTCTGCTCTCTCAATATTGATGTACAAGGGGTCCCGGCTAGTGGACAGCACGGACAGCTGGCCCAGGATGTTCTCTAGTTCCATTCGCAGACAGGTGAAGCTCGGGCGCTGCTTGGGGTCGGCACTCCAGCACTGGTACATGAGCTCGTACCTGGAGGGACAGAAAGGCGAGGGAGGTAGTGGCGCTTCTCTCAAAAGCAGAGACCTCTTAATCAGATGGCATTGGGATTTAAAAAAATTTAATTCATGTGCTTTTGTGTAATGTAAAGGGATTATTACATATTGGGTACTCTTCTAAGTATTTCAAATTTATTAAATTATTTGATTCTCACAATCAACCCTATGAAATAAGGGATCCCTATTTTACAAAGGTGGAAACTTGAAGGTCACACAGGCAGAAAGTGACAGAAGCCAGGTGGTTTGTCCAAAGACCCTCCTATGCTGAGTGGGCAGCATCCACTCAGGCAGTCTTAAATCCTCCCTGTTCATAGATACCTTTGAGTATCTGAGAAAAACTTTTCCCCTGGCAGGAATACTTTTTTACATACAATTTCAGAAGACTTACAAATTCCCTGAGGCCTGCCATTCACATTTCCTAAGGAATGCCTCTAGCTGAAGAAAATAACAACCCAAAAAACCTAATGGGAAGGGGCTGAGACCAAGTTCAGTAAGAAAAAATGCCTGACTCTCTTGCCTATGCATGTGACAAAAGCCCTAAGCACTGCCTCACACACCAGCCTTCCCAACTGGGGCCCCCAGTGTTGGGGGTAATCATGCCAGATACTGAGCAGGCCGTGGGAATGGTCTTGGCCATGGGTACACAGCCAGACCGGGATACATTCTCAAGGCTGTGCTAGGAGCCAACTGGCATCTGTCCACCAGGCTGCCTGGGGGAGGCCACTGACAGCACAGCTCCAGCCTTGGAGGAGGCTGAGCTAGGGCCTAGGCCCCACTGCCCATCAGAGCTTCTGCAGTGCCAGATGACAGCTGAGGCAGGCTGCAGCCACAGGGAGACCAGAGCTTCCTGCCCTTACCAAGCCCTGAACCCTGTTCAGTGAACAGGAGGGGCAGAGCCTGGTATGTTGACTTGGATTTCCCTCTCAGGTGCAGGTGAATCACCCACAGCCCAGGCTCAGGATACTTCAAACCCACTGCCCTAGAGCAGGACCCCACTCCATCATTCAACTGCCTGTCTGTGCCTCCTCTGCCTGTCCATGACCTCAGCACTCTGGAGGTCTAACCTTACAGCAAGAAACAGGGCAGATTATTTCTCTGGGTCACAGTGGATTCCCTCTCTTGGTGCCCACAAATGATCCTCTGCAACAAAAAGTCCATTGGCCCTACCCACCAAGCCTCTCTCTGCCGGGGAGACCCTGGCTTGGATGGAGTAGAGGAGTAAATAGAGGAGTAAGAACAGACAAATCATAGTTGCCGACATTATTAAGAGCACGTACTCTAAAATCACAGGGATCTAGGTTCAAATCACAACTCATTCATTTAACAGCTGTGACCTTAGCCATGTTACTTAACATCTTTTTTTTTTTTTTTGAGTTGGAGTCTCACTCTGTCACCCAGACTGGAGTGCAGTGGCCGCTCCCGGCCACCGCAACCTAGACCTGCTGGGCTCCGGCAATTCTTCCGCCTCAGCCTTCCGAGTAGCCGGAATTACAGGCATGCGCTACCACGCCCGGCTGATTTTTTGATTTATTGTAGAGATGAGGTCTCACTGCCCAGGCGGGTCTCGAACCCGCGGGCTCAGGCAATCCACTCACCTCAGCCTCCCAAAGGCGCGGGATTACAGGCTGAGCCACCGAGCCTGAGCCACCGAGCCCGGCTTACTTAACATTTTTAATCTTATTTCCTCATCTACAAAATGGGGCTAAGTCTTTTCCTCATTAGGCTAGTGGAAGATTATCTGAAAGAATGCTAAAGTGCCCAGCTAATGTTAGCAATACTTCCTATTATCTTGTTATAGGGGCTTGACATCACATTTGTACAGCAGGCGGTATCACCACCCGCCCCACGCTCGAGGGAATCAGACTTGCAGAAAGGAAAAGAGGCAGTTTTCTTCCCAGGATCTCAGTTCTTTATCTTAGGTCTTCTGCACTCCCTTAAGAGGAGACCAAGCCAAAAATGATTCCCAGCCCAGCCTCCCACCTCCATGCCTCCTTCTTGCCAAGCAAGAACAGTTGTGTATCAGCCGTTTTTTTCTCATGCCTTGTGCAGCCCTATCTGAGCTCAGCATAGGGGTTTTCTTTTTCACTCTCTCTCTCTTTTTTTTTTTTTGAGTCGGAGTCTTACTTTGTTGACCAGGCTAGAGTGCAGTTGCATGCTCACGGCCACTGCAGCCTCAACCTGAGGGGGCTCAAGTGATTCTTCCACCTCAGTCTTCCAAGTAGGTGGAAATACAGGTGCATGCCACCACACCCAGCTAATTATTTATTGTAGAGACAAGTTGCCCAAGCTGGTCTTGAACCCCTGGGCTCAGGCGATCCTCTTGCCTCTGCCTCCTAAAGTGCTGGGATTACAGGCATAAGCCACCATACCTGACAGAGATTTTCTTATGTCTCAGACTAGCTAGGTTCTCAAGAAGGACAAAGGTTGTGTTCATGACTAGGACTAGAAAAAATTAAATAAATAAAATAGAAAATACAAAAAAAAAAAAAAAGGAGGTAAGGCTGGCAAACCTACACTCTTGCTCATTTTTCCTTCTGTTTTTGGAGCTCCTGTTTCTCCCTAGACACTGGAGAAAAGAGAGTGACAGAAAAAGTCTGGAGCAATATGGGATGGGAAAGGGGAAAGAAAGAAGACAGATGGTGGATGAATAGCAAGTATGAGGTGAAGGTCAGTCTTCCAACTACAAGGATGTTCACACACACACACACACACACACACACACACACACACACACACACACACACACACTCATACACACACAAAAGTCCAGTTGAGGTCTGAGCCCCCACTGGACCAGCAGCTATGTAGCAGCCATCAGCCAAAACCCCAGATTCCTAGTTCCTCCCAGGACTCCCTTCCCCAGGTACTCACACATCTTCCATGCACTCAGGAGGCTGTTTCAGGCGGTTCCCGCCGATGAGGTAGTTGTAAATCTCAGCGTTTTCGATACCAGCATATGGCGTCTGCCCACGAGTCATGATCTCCCACATGGTCACCCCGAAGGCCCACTGGGATAGAATTGGGTGGGGGAGGAAGGTGTCACTAGGCTTCCAGAGCCAAGCACAGCCATGTCTCTGAGGCAAGCACATCTTGGGGCCCTGGGGCCTCATCACCAGGCAGCCAAACCCCAGAGAGCAGACCTGGCTGGCTCACACATTCGTCCACACCACCACTCGAGGTACCCCAAAGCCTCACCACATCACTGTGCACAGTATACAGGTTGTCAGCTAGGCTCTCCAGGGCCAGCCACTTGACAGGCAATTTGGAGGCACAGCCCTGACGATAGTAGTCCCCACTATAGATCTTCCGGGAAAGTCCAAAGTCAGCCACGCACACCGTCATGTCCTCTGCCAGCCTACGAGGGGCGTTGAAGGATAGGGTCAGCCTTCCCCCATAATCGCAGTGTTGCTAGAGCCAGGATGTCTTTGCTCCCAAGCTGTCCCCATGCATAGAAGATACTGTCCCAGGCAAGAGCAACCATCAGCTAGCTCCTCCAGGCACCAGCTGCTGTCTCCCACCCCCAAGCCCTCCAGAATTCATACATGCAATTCCGAGCGGCCAGGTCTCGGTGGATGAAGTTCCGAGAGCTCAGGTACTCCATGCCACAGGCAATGTCCACCATGAACCGGATCAGGGTCTGGAGGGGCAGGTTCTGGTGGGCAGACAGGGCAAGCTCAGGCTGGACCTGCCTATCAGCTGAGGCAGGAGGAATGGGGTTCCCTGGCCAGAGAGCCTAAGTACTGTCCTCAGAATCACTGAAAGGAAGGAAAGGGGACAGAGGGCCTTCCCAGGCAAGGAAGCTTCTGCAAGTCAGAGAATGTCCAAGAGCCAAGACTCCTCCAACTTGCAGCTCTACAGTCTCATCTCCCAGAAGGGGCCCTTGCCCAGCCTAAAATTCTCAGCAGGGCTTGTGAGAGAAAATGAAGTCTGTTAGCTTAAAAGAATTCAAACTCAGAGTCCTCCTACTCCTAACATGCTTCATTGGCCCTACCTACCAAGTCCCTCTCTACCAGGGTCTGTCCCTTTCCGAGCCCTGTTCTCCCACCCATTACCTCCTGGCCACCCCACCCCAGGCACTCACAAAGGGGTTCTCTCCGATCCGGGAGGCGAGCAGGAAGGCATGCAGGTCCCCGTGCTTCATGAAGGGCAGGATGACCATGGGGATGGGGAGACGGCCTTTAGCCCTGCTCCGGAGGCTTACCCCTGGGATGAGGGAGAGTCAGGAGCTGAGCACAGAAAGCTCAAGGAATAGCTCAGGTGTCTATGCAAATCCCCACCAGCTGGGTCCCTCCTCTAGTTCCAGCCATGGGACCTTTTTGCAGTTCCACGCTGGCCTGGGACTACCCAGGAGGGGCTCTGGCTGCTCCCATGTCCCTGGAGCATCTTCTCTGTCCCCTCCTCCTCATTCACTGTCCACATGAGCAGATTTCATGTACAGAGCTTTGGTATTCCTCACTGGAGTGTGGTCAGATTTCACCAAGGGTCCTCCTTGCTATTTTGCCATCTGCTTACTTACCAGGTAAGTCCACACTTCTCCCCAACAGCCTGACCTCTCACCTTGGCAGAGCATATGTTTAGCCCTATTCCGTATTTGCCTCCCCCCAAAAGGGGCTCACCAACAAGCTTGGCCACATGTGGATGATCAAACTCTTTCATGCAAGCTGCTTCCCTGAGGAACTCTTCAATGTCACTTGAGGCAATGATGTCAGCTGGGAGAAAAGGATGGGAGGCAGGGAATAAAGTGAGATGTGCCCCTGGCTCTGTCTCAAGACTCCTAGGTCTTGTCCTGCAGAACCCCTGGGCTTCCTGGGGGCCCAAGAAATAGTCTAGCCATAAGTAAGAGAAAACCCCATGAACTGGTGCTAGCCAATAATTTCTCCACTTGCTAATGCCTCCCCTTAGGTCTGGGTAGCCCAGCAGCTCAACCAACCACAGCGGTCATCACCCCAAGAGGGAACTCAGAGAACAGTCACTGCTGGCGGCAGAGAGCAATGACTGGGGCACGAATATGTGTGTGGGCTTATGCCTGTGAATTATTCACGTGGGGCAGAAAGCATCCCAGTTAGTGCTGACTAGCTCTTCCTAGAAAATCTAGGGGCAAAGCAGAGCACGCTTCAGGATCAGCCACCCCTCTGCCTTCCCGAGTGAATCCTTCATGCCACAAGTACTGCCTTCTACTCACCTTTCAGCATCTTTACAGCCACTTTCACAAAGGAGCCATCTTCCTGTTTCAGTTGGGCCTCCCGCACTGAACCAAACTCTCCTAGGAACCAATCGAAATGAGGAGTCTCCTAGGCTCCCCCAGGAGAGGGAGTCCTCAGGCTCCCCCAAGAAACCCTCCATGGGGACATAAAATTCTGTCACTAGAGAAGGCTCCCTTACTGGTAGCCAAAGCAGAGCATGCTGGGAGGGCTCCTCGGCTTTCTATCCCTGGCCACCATTCCCCCAAACATTCAATCTCAGGTGTCTACAAGCATATCTTGTTTATAGGAGCTGACCAGATCCACACCCTCAGAGTAACAGGAGCACCCACACACATCCAGCTTCACAAACTCTTGCCAGCCCACGGACCTTTGCCCAACATCCGGCCCAGGGTGAACTGCTGCTCTGGGATAAGCACATCCTCCAGCTTTTCCTTTAGTTCATCGCTGATGCCCAAGCTGTCCACTGTGGAGAAGGGGTTGGTGAGAAAGGGGAGGGATTTCTGGCTCCTGATCCCCAACCCAGCCAGGCTCTATGCCCCAGACTCTGATCTCGGAGCATAGAGATGAGTTTAGCTCTCCCACAGCGGGTGTGGGGAACTCCTTGAGGGGAGGTCTGTGTGTCTTTTTTACTACACTATGTGCAGGGACCCATCAAGATTCAGACATATTGCTCAAATTAGTGAGTTGGTAAAAGGAATGCAGACAGGGCATAAGAGCCCGTTTTTCTCTCCCATGATCCCCTTTTTCCCTCCCATGATCCCCTACACTCACGTGTGGCCTCAATGCGCTCGGGTCTTTCTCGATTGAAGGACCGAGCAGCCCGGAAGTGAACGGCTGGCTCGCCCCGGGCCATGACACTGTCAAATGCTTGCCTAAAGAGAAACCCAGGACTTGAGAGGTCAACTCCAAGGCCCTCTGTCATCACCTGCCTTTCCCTCCATGTTCCTACCCCCTTACCCGAACCGTGTCTCCTTTCGCCTCTTTCGAAGCAGAATGAGGGCCAGAGCAGCAGCTGTCACCAGGGCTGTGAGCACGCCGAGGACCACAGGCACCCAGGATGTACGGCTGTGGGGAGGGCCCTGCTGGCCTGTGGGAGGGAGGGGCAGTGGCACAAGCTAGGCTGACACCAAGGGGTCCTTTTAAAACTTTCTCTGGATAGCCATCTAGCCTGGTCAACAGGCTTCTCTAAGTCAATAAGGATCCTGATGAAAGAGGCTACAGAGGAAAGCTCAAGAGTTCCAGTGACAGACCCCAGCTGTTGTGACCTATAGTATGACCAAGGATTTCTGTGCTAGTTCTGGGGCAGAAGGAAGAGAATGGGATATAGTTTAAATAACGTCCCCAGTCTCGACTGCTTCACTCTGAGTTTGTGGGCCTATTAGGAGCAAAGGCACTTCCATACTCCTCCCACAGGTCTCCGTTGCCCTTGAAAGCCTTGGTCCCCCCTTTTCCCACCCAACAGGCCTCACCTGCATGGTCATGAGAAGAGACTACCAGTGGTTGACTCCAGGGTCCACAGCCAACCACATTGGAGACACATACACGTACGATCAGGTCCTTCTGGGGATCCCAGCCTGTCAAATTGACCCTTGTCCCCTCCACTGTCAGCTCATCCTGCAACCAGGAAAAGCCCCAATCCCGCACTGAGCCTGAGTTGAAGGCCTCCAGATGGGGCCTGAGAGTAAAGAAAGATCCAGCAAGGAAGAGGGGAGTTTAAGGACACTGTGGGTTCACGGGCGGCGGGAACACAACCTTCTGGGAGTCATCACATTCCTGTTTCAGGCTGCAGAGGCCTCTCCAGAACACAAACAAGGCTCAGTCCCGGAATGCATAGGTGGGGGATGGGAGGGAACTGAGCAGGGGACAAAGCCTTATCTGTGCCCTCCCCCAGCTGATGCAGGAATGTGCTTCCTGCTTTATTTACAAAGTGGACACAGGAGGTGTAATCCAGTGAGATGTGGCGCTCACAGGGAAGGGCGGGGAGGAATGGATTCCCTGAAGCAATTGAAGGCCCAGGACCACCAAAAAGAGCCAATCTGAAGCACATAAATGCCTCAGAGCCCTGAAGGCTGATAATCCAGGAAAGCAGAGAGAGTAGAAAGTTCTGTCTCACTTACCTGGGTTTCATTGTCTTGAACCCAGGAGAGTTTATAGGGTCCCAGGGGACCTTCCAAAGGGCCCTCAGGGATCACTTCTTCCCATTCCAGGATGAGGCCTGAATCTGTGCGGATGGCATGGAGATTCTGGGGAACACTGGCTGGGGCTGCACCCAAAGAGAGAAGATTGCTAAAATCCATGCCCTTCCCACCATCACTATCCCAGCCAGACCTTTGGAACCAACTCCTGAGAACTAAACAGCTCAGAGAGCAGCAGATGGGGGAAGGGTTCAACTCCCAGCTCTGACTGCTCTCACCCACTGTGCTGAGGGGAGGGGTAAGCAATGGGCAGGACAGGCAGCACCCAGCTCAGCATCATTGCTCTTTTGTCACCATGGTTACTGCCTCTCAGCCTCATCCCTCACCACTCCCCTCTCATAGCTAAGCCAGCCTCCTTGCAATTAATTGCCAGAGAACTCCAAGCAAGTTCTTCCCTGCAATTAAGTGCCAGAGAACTCCAACCTAGTTCCTCCTTGTAATTAACTGCCAGAACCCTAAGCAAGTTCCTGTCTTTGCATCTGCTGTACCTTCTTCCTGCAGTGACTCTCCCCCAAATATTTACATGGCTTCTTTACCATTCAGACCTCATTCACATATTTTTAGAGGGTTTTGCTTGCTCACTCTGGGGCACTCTTCATCTTTTTGGGGTCTTTTTTTTTTTTGAGTTGGAGTCTCACTGTCACCCAGACTGGAGTGCAGTGGCCGCTTCCGGCCACTGCAGCCTCGACCTGCTGGGCTCTGGCGATCCTTCCGCCTCAGCCTTTCAAGTAGCTGGAACTACTGC